TGTTGGAGAAGACTCTTGAGAGTCCCTTGGACTGCAAGGAGATCCAACCAGTCCATCCTAAAGGAGATCAGTCCTGGGTGTTCATTGGAAGGACTGATGCTGAAGGTGAAACTCCAATACTTTGGCCGCCTGATGTGGAGAGCTGACTCATTGGAAAAGACCCTGATGCTGGGAGGGATTGGGGGCAGGAGGAGAAGGGGACGACAGGGGATGAGATGGTTGGATGACATCATTGACTCTATGGACATGGGTTTGTGTGGACTCCGGGAGTTGGTGATGGACAGGGAGGCCTGGCATGCTGCGGTTCACGGGGTCGCAAAGAGTTGGACATGACTGAGCAACTGAACGGAGCTGAACTGAACTGGACATTTCAAAATACTGATATTTTAAGTAAAGATTGAGAATATATAGTCTGTTATATGTTAAATGGTACCTCTTCTAGTCTCCTGGCAGATTATTCATGTTACCTCATTGCTATTCACACCCAGAGGACACAAGGGCAGCACTGTAGCTGTGCCAAGGGATGCAGAAGCCCATCTCTGCTGTATATTGTGTCACAGGGAGTACACAGAGCACTGGTCTATAAGTAATGTTTCCCAAACAGGTGGAGTCCCTAATTATAATTTTGGTGAGTAAAGTAAATAAAAAAGCATATCAAAAAGTAAATAAAAAAGCATATTAAACAATCAAGTACAACTCTGAAGTGTCCTTATTTGCCTGAAACTAACCCTTAACCTCTCTAAAGAAGAAACTAAAACTACTAAAGAAAAAACAACAACAACAAAAGCAGGCAATGAATCATATATGTATGTCATTTTCTCAGAGAATATGCAATCACTCAAGTTGATTGTTCAAGCTTAGTTAAATATTTTCTTACCAGTGAATTTTGAAATAATACAATGATCTGAAACATTTTCCTAGTATTTCCTTATATAAATCTAAGTAATCGCTTTCTGAAGCATAGCTAACTAAACTACTACTTGTTATTATGTTATATAATGTATGTCTCTGGCCTTAAATATTTCCAAGCTCAGAATATTTAGAAATATTTGGATAATGTTTTTAAATATATAAATTTTAGAGATTTTTTTCCCCCTTAAAAATCAATCAATTTATCACTAAATTTGTTTTTGCCTCTTTTGGATTATCAATTGTATTTAGATTTATATCAGTTCAATTTTTTAGTTCTATAAGTTGTTTATTTTATATATTTACTTTTTCAATTTGTATTAAATAATTCCACAAAAATTTGCTGAATAGCAAGATCACCCTATCTTAGTTTCACTATTAGGTTTCATTTTCTTCTAGAGAAAATGTCTGGTTTTACTTTCTTTAAATAATGTACACAGTGGAATCAATTAATTGTAAAGTTGCAGATGAACATTATCATCCTGCCCTGGATAGCCCACAACCAATTATTTAACCAAATACTAAGAGAACACAAAAGTAACACATACCTGTAATTTCCAAAACTTTGGGAAAAAATAGTGTCCAGAATCGGCATTGTTGAGCACGTAGTTTGGTATTTACTTTTGGTGACTCGGTATTTAAGGTGAAATATTTTTGTTCATTGCTTTTGAAAACAGGCCATCTTGTACTATTGTTCTGGGTCCCATTCGGATTTCTAAAAAAATTGAGAGGCATTATAGTTCTATTGAAGTCACTGATAGATTTATATATATATATATATATATATATATATGTTCTCAGAAATCAATAAGAGTTTACAAAGTCAGAAAAATGTTGATTTGTTTGATAATCAAGCATAAAAGAACTAGTTGAATGTTTTCAGTACCTTCAAGCACTATGTTAGTTAAAATTGTAGGAATTAAAATTTAAAGAAATTTTTTACACATATTTTTGCTTAACATATAGAAAGAAAAATATAGTCTATTTTAAAATACCAATATTTTCTTTACACTTGAACATATATATCTAAGTTTGGGGCTGATTGCTCATCTCCTTAGTATGTAATAACTGTATTACTCTAAATCTAACTTTTAAGTTGTTCTTTCATTCATATAAATTTGTTCACTGCTTAAAAATCCTTCAATAATTCCCCTGTGAGATCAGATAAAGATTAGTGAACATGCCACCCACATTTCCAAGCTTACTTTCAGGTATTGTCTTTGCAGGCCAGCCAACAGGAATTGGGGATACTTTCTTAGTCATTTCTTTCTCTATTACACCTCCTGTCTTTGCCTAGCTATTACTTCTGCCTGGAATTGCTTCATTTCCTAACATCAGGTGTCAAAATCAATTCAGAACCTTCAGTTACTGTTTTCATGCTGATGCTTCCCATATCTTCAATTGTGATTTTTATATCAAGAGTGCTTGACTCAATTTTTCAGAAATTTATAATTTTTGGTTCACTTACACCTTATAGGATTTAATAATATATTATTGCCTAGGTCACACAAACAGAAACTCAAAGAATAAACATTCTGGAAGTGACTATCTGGATAGTTACTGGTGATTCTAAAGATTTACCTTTAACATATTTGTATGCTGCTTTTATGAGTCTGACACTGCTCTAGGCTTTAGAAATACAAATACATATGGGGACATAGTTTTCCTCAGAGAATTACAAGAAAGGGCATCCATGAAAACAAAAAAACAACAATATATGGTAACCTAAATCAAGCATAAACACACATTCTCAGAAGAGGGAATTAGCTAAAGAAATGCAATTTTACCTGAAGTAAGGAGAAAAAAATAAGAAATTGAACCAGAAAGAAAATTTTGGAAAACTAAAGAAAGGGAACAAAATTAAAATAGGTACAAAATTCTGTTCCTCCTAGTTCAAATAGCAATGAAAAAAAAAAAAAAAAGTAGTTTTCTTGGACTGTAAGAGGAGATTATATTAGAATTATAGCTTTAGGATTTTAGTGGTATAGCAATAAGATCTGAAAATCTAGTAAAATGGTTTAGGCTTTAGTTTGTAGGCTTTTATGATTCTTGAGGGATTCTTGGCCTGATGGCTTACTGTAAACATAATAGTTTAGAACTATTAACCTAGACGTAGTATCTAGAATAACCAAGAAACCTAGAAAGTAGTCACTGAGACTTGTATCAAAAAAAAAAAAAAAAAGATTAAAGTGATAGGCAAATGCAACTTATCCCTTTCTAACTTAAGCAAACCCATATAAGAAAATCTCCAGTTCAACTTTTCTAAAAGTATACCTCACAAAATTCTTCATCATTAATAACATACCTTCTATATATTATTGACAGAAACTTGGGAGAACTGATGGAACGTACACTTTATTTTTCTTGCCAAAAGCCTGTGAACCCCTAGGATTTGGAAAGAGAAGCAGGCATTCATCAGCATGGTTATCTGAGGCAGATTTTGCCATCAAGAACTTGTATTGAATAAGTACCCTAAGTTCCTATTTTATCACAGATGCAGACATATTCAACCATGATTCAAGAGCTATAGAGATAAATAGCTTCGTGATGAACGGGTTGATTTTATGTAGGAATTGGATGATTTAATAAGAATTATTAAAAACCAGAGCTATTCAAGCTAAACCAATATCATAACAGGATTGAACCCTCTTGCTTTAGGGTATTATTTGAAAGAGGTCAGGAAGAAAATTTCTCCAGATCACAGGTGGCACACTTGTCTAGGTGAATTATGTACTTTTTCTTTTATTTTAGAGCTTTAGAAACTAACAAGTACAGCTGCTGGAGGCTGGATATTAAACCAGGAGAACCATTGGTCTGATTCGGTACAGCAATTCTTATGTTCCTAAATTGCCCACTTTCCTTCTAATTCCATTCTAATTAACTTATGGCACCATTTTAACTGCACATTCATTTCTGGCTTCTGCAAATGGTGACTTAAACAGAGCTGACTTGTACTTGAGCTCAAGAGCGAAGCACTAATGGCACTGCCAGTGTTCATTTAACAAACTTTGTCCTATGAAATAACTCATGACATTCCAAATTGTAGTTCAGAGATAATAAAACTCCTTTGCCTATGGATGCAGATATTGTTTTCAAAAAGTGATTGAAATAGCTATTGAAGTGATGAAGCATTTTATTTTATAATTTGAAAAAACCTCCAAAGACCAAAACTTAACCAGAGACATAATTCTCTTCTTATTTGTATCAGTTAAAAACTTTGTAAAATCCAATATACTTTCCAGATACAAAATTCTGAAACACTGTGTTGTGCGTGTTCAATCCCTCAGCTGTGTCTGACTATGTGACCCCGGTGACCCATAGCACACCAGACTCCTCTGTCCAAGGAATTTTCCCAGCAAGAATAATGGAGTGGGTTGCCATTTCCTCTTCCATCCTCCTGACCCAGGGACTGAATCCACATCTCTTGCATCTCCTGCATTGGCAGGCAGATGTTTTTACCACTGAGCCACCTGGGAAACCCTCTGAAACACTATACAATTTTAATTTCAAAATTATAAATTTAAACATCCTGACTTTGCTATTTTTAAAAAAAGTAATTTATATTCTGATTATAAAATAAATACCTCAAAGTGAAAATATGCAACACTTTCCATGAAATAAAGAAATCTCTTCTCTTTTTGTTATCAGGGTTTGTTTTTTTTTTTTCTAATTTGTGTTATACAAAAGTAGTCTAAAGATCATTCATTGCACTTTTCCTCTAATGTAGGATTGAAAAGTTTTAAGATATGGTTTATTTAACCAAAAATGCAGACTATCATTTGAACAATTGTATTACAGAAAATTGCTTGCTTGTCATTGGTATTTGAACATTTTCTATTCATTTTATGAATAGAATCTTTAAAAAGAAATTAATTGACTCTGGGTGCCTGGTATGAAGGACTAGGAAATACTCAACTTCATGCATCAAATTTTCTTAGAAATACAAGTTCCATTATTGCTTAACCAATCCTAACACAGGAATTAAGATTCCTTTAAGAATTCAGAGATGGTTATTTCTAACTAAGATATATGGTTACTTTTTAAACATTTTATTTTATATTGGAGTGTAACCAATTAACAATGTTTTGACAGTTTCAGGTGAACATTAAATGGACTCAGCCATACATATTCATGACTCCATTCTCCCTCAAACCCATCCAGGCCGCCACATAACACTGAGTAGAATTCCATGTGCTATACAGTTATTTTAAAGTGAATATATTTTAGTGTGCTTTACAATCTAGTAAAATGAGGTCATGATTAGTAGTTGTAAACTGAAAGGCCACCTGAAATATCCCACAATCATAAGCAGGTCACGAGGATATAGTGGATAATTTCTTATATGCAAATATTCATGGATTTATATTCCGGCATGTCATGCTTAAATAAAACTGTATTTTAATTTAAAGAATAAAAGGGTTATAAAAGAGATTAAACCGATTCTTTTATTAAACAAATATCAATTGAGAGCATACTTTGTCAAACTTGTTTGAATCACAGAAGATTCAACAACAACAAAAACAGAAAAAAAATTCCTACCTCATACAGTTTTCACTCTATGAGAAAGATAGACAATAATGATAATAAAAGAAAATTATATAGTATGTTGAATAGTAATAGCTCCTAGAAATAATAAAACTGAAAGTGGGGATGATAGGAAATGATGAGTATGTAAGTATGTGTGTGTGTGGAGGGCAGAGGATAGGGAGTGTGTAATAATGAATTTGATTTACTTTTGTCCAAATTTCCTTGTGAGATAACCTCTAAGTCTTGGAACTTTGCACCATACCTGATAGGTTATAGTAACAGGGTGATTCGTGTTGTGTATATGATGACCTTTGCTAATGCCATGACTCAGGGTGGGGCAGCACACACTGTTAATCTTAGGGAAGGAACTGACTTCCCCTGAAAAACTAACCAGTGGTTAGAGGGTTGGGACTTTGAGCCAACTGATATCAGCCTGAGCTCTGGGAAGAGGAGGGGCCTAAAGATTGAATTGAACCACTTGGCCAATAACTGACTGTACCATGCAACCCAAATAAAACTAAACCTCAAGGTCAGGTGAGCTTTCTGGGTTGGCAGTTCTCCATGTGCGCCCACCTTACGACAATTGATGCCATGTGACAAAGCGTCTGTGAGGATGTTGAAGATTTCTGTTTGGAAGCTTGTTAGTTGTAGATCTTACTCTCTGTATCTTTTCCTTTGGTTCTGAACTATATGCTCTTGCTATATTGTGTGTGTGTTATTTACTCAGTTGTGTCTAACTCTTTGTGACCCTGTGGATTGTAGCTCACCAGTCTCCTCTGTCCATGGAATTCTCCAAACAAGAATACTAGAGTGAGTTGCCATGCCTGCCCTTCTCTAGGGGATCTTCATAACCCAGGTATTCCACAATGCAGGCAGATTGTCTTTACCATCTGAGCCTCCAGGGAAGACCTTTGCTATATTAAAACTGTTCATTGTAATTTATGGAATTTTTCTAAGTCCTGTGAGTCATTCTAGTGAATTATCAAATCTGAGGGAATTCATGTGGACTCTGAACTCGCAAGTTAGATTTGAAATCTTGAAAGATGACAGTTTGAAGGGCTGTGCCTTAACCTTGACTTTGGAAGACTCTGGGTAGGGAAACTCCACAATATTTGGAAAGAAAGAAACTTTCAAGTGAAGAATTGACAGAGGATAAGAGTGAGCCATGCAATTTATTTGAGGGAAGAG